AGGATTTAGATGAATTAAATTTATTCTTATATTTATAATTAATTAGCAAAAAAACTATTTGCTTTAGTAAACTAATTATAATATCTTTATTTATATATTTATATGAATATTCTAACTTATTTTTTATTTATTTTATATTTATTTCTAGTTAATTAATTCTCATTTTAAGTTTTTCATATTTAGAAGATAATCTTCTAATTTATTCTCTAATATTATAATTTATTCAAAAAGTATACTATATATTTTTACATTTTATTTATCTAATTTAAATATTTAGGTTACTTTCTTATATATCTAAAAGACTTAGTTCTTTTAAAATCATATACTATTAGATAAATACTTTTGATCAGTTATAATTTTTGTAATATATTCTATATGCAATATCTTAAATAAATAAAAAAATTAAAATTTATTAAATGATATCTAACTTATCTATATAATTAATTTTTATTAAAAAGCTTAAATCAGAGTATTTATTATTATATTAGTGAGATTAACCCATTTTTTCTTTTATTATTATCTGATTATTATATAATTTTTCAAATAATTACAAGATAATAGATCATTTATTATGTTGTAATAATCTACTAATATAAGTTAGTCTATTATATTATTAATCTAAACTCATTTTAGATTTAATAAAATATTTAAATTATAATATCACTCATTTTTATTAAAGTTTAAGTATAGTTTTACCTTTTTCAGAATTTTGCAGATTTTAAATAATATTTTAATATAATTTTAATTAAATTACTATTTAAATAATTTGCAAAACCTCTAAGTTTTATCTAGCAATTTTAATTATATATTATAATAAAAAGATATAGAGCTAAACTAATAAATAGTCTATAAATAAGTAATAAAAAATTGTTAAAGAGGATTGGTACATAATTAATTAATGTAAATTTTCTAAAAAGTATTTATACACTTATAAATATTAATAAAATTAGTTACATTTAGATTATTTAATCACATAATCTAAATAGATACATATTAATTTAAAACTATAATATATTAATCTAAAAATTATCTCTTAAATTATAATTATAAAATTGTTTCTAAAATATTTTAGAAAACTTAAAATATTTTAATATTTAATGATTATAAAAAAATAAAAAAAATCTTTAGATTTATTATATTATAATATATCTAATAGTAGTATTTTTAAACTTTTAAAATTTTTAATTATTAATATATATTAATTTTTAATTTTTAATTTTAAAAATAATTTATTATTTAATAATTACAAAATATAAAATTTAATTTATTAGATTCGTCATATTAAAATTTATTAAATAGTAGCATTTTTATATTTTTGAGATTGATAGATAATAAGATATATAAGTTTAAAATTTTAATTTTTTTATAATAATTTATATTTATTTATCTTTAAAAAATCACTAGTTAATTACATTTTTTTTTTTTAATTTTTACTTAAAAAATATCATAAAATTTATTATAAAATATTAATTTATTAATAATATATTTTAAAATATTTAAAAATAATTAAAAATGATTGTAATTAATAAATAAAATTGCCTATAAATTTGTAGACAAAACAGTTGAAGTGATAATATTTTAAAATATCTTAATTTAAGACTACGATATATTAATCTTAAGACTATATATCCTAGAATATTAATCTGATCTAAATATAATAAATTAATATTTTCTATTATATTTTATAATTAATTTGTAAAAAATAAAAATAATATATAAAATTAATAATTTTGGTAGGACTGTTAAATATAGAATTAGTTTTAAAAATTTAGTTCTAAATTCTAAATTTTAAAATTTTGAAATTCAAAAAGATTATTATTTATTTTCATTAAGTAGTTTATTAAATATTATAATAGATAAGTTTAATAATATACCTGTAAAAATAATTTTTGTAATTTTTTAGATTGCTTATAATTATTTAAAATCCTTATAAAAATAATAAATTGCTCTATAAATATTAAATTAACTAATAAAATTAATATTTGACTAAATTCAACCTAAAGTATGCACAAATTATTACTAAAAATAGATAAATTACATATAAAAAGGCAACTTTACATATGAAATTAATATAATTTTCTTATTTTAGTATAAATATAAATTTTTAGTTTAAAATTTATATACTGTTAAATGTATTACTTATAAATGTAATACAAAAATTAGAAATTGCCATTGATATGGGATCTTTTGCAATAGAAGAATGAAAATTACCCATTTATTCAATTTAGCATTAACTCATTTTTTATTTTTTTTCCAGCCTTTTCTATTGCCTAGCGTTCTTTAAAGAATTTCCTTATCCATCTTAGGCCATGATCTGCAAACATATCACGTGATATATTAATTTTTTCGGTAAAAAGATTAAATTTTGGTTTTTTCACATAATTTCTTTGTTTTGCTATATTATGCAATGTTCATCGAGATGCTTCACGTTATCACAGACACAAAAGCCAAGATTCACGCGAATGAAACAAAAATGTATAAACGCACCGAATGTTTTAAAATAGTATAAAGAAGTTCCGCATTTATTTGGAATAATGAAATAAATCTTACACGTGTTTATTTTCCAAAATCCAAAGCAAACCTAGTGGGTTAAGTTTAATACATTTGACCGAGCCACTCGAAGTTCTCCGGGAATCTCGTAAGAACGTTGATATGTTATAATGTGAAAGTGTGAAAATGAAACAACATTAAACAATACCAGACATTTTGTATCTCAAATGATTGCGGCGACTCTTTTTTGAAACGAGTCGACGATTTAAGCGTCTGAAATTTTTATAATCACGAATGTGGTATCACAAAATCACCATTCGTACTACCAGATTTCTCCTAGTTGATGCACTGAAAGAAAAGTCGGTTATATACTATGTCATAATCTTTTTATACTTTCGAGAGTGTATAATATTATACAATAATACAATTATAGAATGGCAGATATGCGGGTTGTGTATAAAAAAGGGATGTGGTCACCTTCCTATTCTATCTCCATTTCTGAAGTATTCAATTGATTCAAATAGGGACTCAACAACAAGCACATTTACCACAAGCACGTTTTCCCAATCTCCAGCTTACCTCCTAGCGAAACATAACCTAAATATTCCATCCTCAACCTCTCTTGAGTTATAGCTCATTTCACTTATACAATATACAACCATACAAGAAGAATACTTTTCAACATGAACACTTCCTCTAGACGCGGCGCAGGCTCTCGTTCTACTATAACTACTTCTTCAACTTCTGCTTCAGCAAGTACATCTACATCTAGCAGCAAAGGTGTCTTATCCAAGACTAATGCTACTAGTAGTAGTGCAAAGAGGTGAAATATATTTTTACCCTTTTACCCCCCTATACAAATATTAAACATAACACGCTTGCGATCTTTTTTAAAAATTTTATAATTACTTTTTTTTGATCTAGTTTTCAAAAAATTCTGACCCGCTATATTATATACACTTTTATTTTATTTTTACCTTATTATTAGGATCCAGAAAGAACTTGCTGAGATCAGTCTTGATCCTCCTTGCAATTGCAGGTTCAAACTAGCTTTTAAATTTGCATTAGATCGAAATTATTTAGATTTCTTCTAAATTTTTTTTTTTTTTTTTTTTGCGTTTTCATTATTTTAGCGCTGGTCCTAAAGGTGATAATTTGTATGAATGGGCGTCCACCATTATGGGTCCTGTTGGCTCACCTTATGCTGGAGGTATTTTCTTTTTGGACATTACTTTTCCACAAGACTACCCATTCAAACCTCCAAAGGTATATAATTCGTATAATTAGCTTTGCTGTTCTTTTCAATTAATTATGGCATGCAAATTTTATAATGTTAAATTTAGAATTCCGTTATACAATGTTGAATCTCTCTATTTACTTATATATGTTTTTTATGTTTATTTAAATGTCAAGGTGGTGTATCGCACGCGTATTTATCATTGCAACATCAATTCCTCAGGACAAATTTGCCTCGACATTCTTAAAGACAATTGGTCTCCTGCCTTAACAATTTCTAAAGTCTTGTTGTCGATATGCTCGCTATTGACCGATGCAAACCCACGTAAGTTGTTTGCTATTATGCATATCATACATCACGATTCACACTTATCAATCGAGCTATGTATTCTTTAGATGATCCATTGGTTGGAAGCATCGCACATCAATATTTGCATGATCGTGAGGAACATGATAAAATCGCTAGAGAATGGACTAAACGGTAATTAAAATTTCTAATAATATCGTCTCTTTCAATACGTTTGATATTATTTTGTTCATGTTAACATCTTGTTTTATTCTTATTTATAGTTATGCATCTTGATTGGTGTAGATTTCGCGTCAGGTTGGTTTTTTTTATATTAAAACTAGACTTAATTGGGATAAATAAATGTATTGTTAGATGTCATTGAATTCAAAAAATTATCCTTAATTTTCTTTTTTAAATAATAAAATTGTGTGCTTTCAAAGAATTATAATTTTTACTATATACCCGGTTTTTTTTCATAATTTAATATTTTTTGACTATTATACTTAAAAATATTTTTTTTTCTTTTTATTTGTTTGTTCTATCATAATATATTTACATTTGTTGCTTAGAACACCATAAATGTCCAATCTAAAATGTTGAAAATAATGGTTAATTGAAATTTTATAGAACAGGAAATTGAGATATTTTGCGATTTGTGTTTTTAGTATTGTAATACCTTTTCAGGTTTATTCTTGTTTTAAAGGTTCGCTTTTCTCTTTTCTTCCTTCCTTCCTTCCTTATTTTTTTTTAAAAAAATAATTAAATTTGCTGTAGGGGGTAAAAGATGACTATTTTTTTTTTAAAAAAAAATCATTTCTTAAAATATTATATTTCGATGATAATCGATAATCTGAGATTAAACTTTTTTGACGTGTTACACTACATGAACAATTTTCCGATCTTCAACATTTGCATTACAAAAAGTTTTTGCATTAACCATTTTTAAATCTCAAATTTAAAAAAAAAAAAAAAATTATATATAACAATGTATACAACTTTGTCTCAAGATCGTATATCTAATAAACGAAAAATCGATGATGAGTTTGATACAGCAAAGAATTACAATCATGTTCGACAAAAGAAGAAAAGTAACGTTTTGATGATGCGACATCCACTTGGCATCAAGCCTTGGGGAAATTATTATGTTGACTCAAAAGATCAAAGTAGAAATTTCGAAGGAGATCGTAGAGGTTCTAGTTTAGGAAATTTAGCAATCTTAACAGATGATTTAATTCTAGATATTTTGGGAGCCTTAGATGCTAAGGATCTATTATCTTTGGGATTAGCGAGTAGGGTATTGTATTGCTTCTCAACATTTGACGATTTATGGAAGCAACTTACTATACAAAAATATAAGGGAGATTGGTGTTGGCAAGGAAGCTGGAGAGTAACCTTTTTAAAAAGATCTTGCAGTGAATATAATTTAGATATATTTCTGAAACCTGCAATACATTTAACTGATTTCTATAGTGATACTTTATTTCAACCTTTTTTATGTAGTTCTACGGGGATGGATTCGTACTTGGGAGTTGAAAATATAGATCGACGATCGAATTTAGAGTTAGAGGAGTTTATTAGAAAGTATGCTATACCCAATAAACCTGTTATTATAACAGATGTTGTAACAAAGTGGCCAGCATTTGAAAAATGGAATATGGAATATCTTGTAGAAAAATATGGAGATGTTATATTTCGTGCAGAAGCTATTGATATTAAATTAAGGAATTATGTTGATTACTGTAAAGATACAATGGATGAAAGTCCTTTATATTTATTTGACAAAGAATTTTGTGATAAGTGTGATGGAATTATTGATGATTTTAGTATACCAGAGTATTTTGAAGAAGATTTTTTTAATATATTTGGAGAGAATAGGCCCGATTATAGGTTAGAAAAAATATCTCTATCTTGTCTTTTTTTTTTTTAAAAAAGAAAAAAAAAATGAAATAGAAAATAATATTTACTTATGTAGTTGGGTTATATTTTAAAAGGTGGTTAATCATTGGACCGGCACGTTCAGGTTCAACGTTTCATAAAGATCCAAATTCTACTTCTGCTTGGAATGCTGTTATAACAGGTTCTAAGAAATGGATAATGTATCCACCTGATGTGTTACCTCCAGGAGTCTTCACTAGCGATGGTATTTGGTTCCCATAAAGAAATTTCCCCTTCTTTTTTATGACTCGTTCGATTTATTGTTGTCATTCCTTTAATGAATTTTCTTTTGATATTAGATGAAGCTGAAGTAACATCACCGGTATCAATAATGGAATGGCACTTGAATTTCTATAAAGAAACACAAAAGCCAAATTTACGTCCATTAGAAGTAATTTGTAAAGCAGGAGAGATTATTTTTGTACCTAATGGATGGTGGCACATGGTCATTAATCTTGAGGATTCTATTGCTATAGTATGAATCTTTATATTTATTTGATTTGTGATAATTCGTTAATGATTTAATATATATCTATATATTTTTTTAAACAAAAATAGACACAAAATTTTGTTGGAACTTGGAATTTAAGAAATGTACTTTCGTTTCTTCGTGATAAACCATATCAAATATCTGGTTTTTCGAATTTAGTATGGCCTAATTGTGAGAATATTCATGACGATTTTTATGAAAAATTTAAGAAATTTTATCCGAAAATTTTGAATAAATTGGAATCGGATGATTATGAGAAGAAAAATGACAAGAGATCATCATCGTTATGGGATCAATTGATAAAATCGGATAATAAAGAAGAAAAAGAAAAGAAAGGTTTTACTTTTGGATTTTTGGACGAAGAATGAATGAAATAATTAGTGTTTTCATTGGGAGCGCACGCATTAAAGAAGTTTTAATCAATTATCCTCTTTGAAAATAGTGTTTCATGTAACGCAAAGTCTCTATAACCGAAAAATTATATATTTATCAAGTATCACGTGAAAGCATAGTACACGATTAAATTTAAAATGTAATAAATATCTTTATTTTTAACTTTTCTTACACTAACTAGACTTCTTTTTAAGACTAATAATTTTAAGTTTTGATAATCATTTGTAATTAAAAAAAAAAATTCATATATAATAGATATTCATTATTTCATCGAATTATTATTTAATAATGTTCCGTTTAAAACGCGCTTTTTATAAAAAAATTTGTCCCTTGTTAAAAGGGTAGACAAAAAAAAATTTTTTTATAATAATTGAAATTCTAGTCGACGCTTTTTTTTTTATAAATTAAAAATTTTTAAAAATTATTTTTTTTTTTAATTTAATAATTTATATAATAAATTAAAGTTGGAACCCCCCCCCCCCCCCCCCCCACACACACACACACACACAAAAGACCGAAAGTAACCTCTTCAAAATTTATTTACGAAAAAACTTGCGTTAAAGTACGTCAAGGAATGAAAATATTACAAAAAAAATAATGATAAAGATAAATATTTTATACATCGGAATAATAATAATAATAATAATAATAATAATAATGAAAGAAGGAAAGTAAGAGAGAGAGTGAGAGTGAGAGAAAGAAGTTGATTTAATAAATAAACAAAAAGTCCTTGATTTTTTGTTTTTATTAATTTATGCCATTCTATTATTCTCGGGAAAAAAAAAAAGTTATAATTTCTTTTTAAATTTTAATAATCCATTATCGTGTTAGCTCTTCTGAAAATATTTTTTCAGCTACCACGTATTGTTCCTCACACTTTATTAACCTTTTTACACAAGCCATTGTACTTGGCAAAGTCAAAAATAACCAAGCGCTCACAGGAAGCCAAGCGTAATCCACAACATTTCTCCATGTTCTAGTCTCACTGGAACTTTTCTTGAGCAAATCAACATCTATAGTCTTATGTAAACCTTCGTATAATGCGGCGCACATCAGTAAAGGCATAGGTAATAATATACTAACCGCTTGTATAAGGCAAAACATGTAATAATAAAATGTTGAAGTTAGGATTGGATTCTGAAAACTTGGATAATAATTTGATAAAGGTGAATAAGTGGATATGAGTAAAAATTGTGTTAAAGGAACAGCAGCAAACATGATCCATCCTGAGGTCGCAGGAATCATGTGAGCTTCCAAGACGTGAAATACAACGGTAAGCTTATCAGCTAACGAACATGACATGAAAAATTTTTGTCCGGAATAAGATCCCAAAAGTGATTTGGTATCCGGGGATTTCTTGCTAACCCCGAAAGCAAATTTCAATGAATAAGCGACATCGGCAACTCCATTGTAATGACGTTTTGCTTGAACCCAACGCGCGTGTATGTTTGATATATACCCGGTTGTTTGAACATTCGTGAGATTTATAGGAACGTATATTGGAATCGTTCTAGAAATTCCCCCGGTTTTAAAAAAGCATTTCAGCCACATGTGCAAATCTTCACCGATCGCGTCCTTGTCGGTGTCCCAGAATCCAACTTGTTCAGCAAGAACCTTTAATCATTTATCAGTATTAGTTAGAAAGATCAAATTTTTTTTTTTAAAAAAAAAAAAAATCATTTTAAAAAGAGAAAGTTTATTTGGAGCTGAAATTTTTTCTTTTTTTTTTTTTTTTTTACCATGCTTAAACTATACGTCGAACAAGGGAACGCCAATCCCTTACGATTACTCAGATTTTGCATCACCATTATAGACCACATGATGTCAGTGACGCGTACTGCGGCAGGTACATTAAGTGCGTTTCTCGAGAAAAAGATAGGAGGGGAACAAATTATCGCGTAAGGATCATATGATTCAGCAAAGGCCTTTTCAACGTGACGGATGTAAAGTTCCGGAATAGCAGAATCGGAATCCGTAACGGTGAAAACAACGCGTCTTTTGTCGATCCCCTTACGAACCAACTCATCACATGCAGCTCTAGCAGCGTATGCCACGTTGCTTCCCTTGCCTCGACTTTCACCGGGTAAATCCTTTGGATGAATCGTTATGATAAAATCAAGAAAAGATCCATCAAAAGCTCTTCTGAGATTATCAGCCTTTGTCCGATGATCTACCTCTGACGCTTCCATTGCCAATACGATAACATAATGATCGGTAGCATTTCTTTTGAGGTCAATTCATGGGACGTCAGTTATTTAAAAGAAAAGAAAAAAAAAATGATCGTAAAGGTATCATACCTATGTTGTGCCAATCTCTTAATGGTGTCTCTTAATAATGGTTCGGGTTCCTCATAATTCGGAATGACGAAAGCATGAATGTAATAAGCATCTTGTATTTTATCCGCGCTCTCCATTTCATTAGCTCGATTATAGCAATCGAAATCATCACTCGTAGACACTGACGCATAACCATTCCTTGTCGGCGTTATCCTTCCGTTACTTGTGGAAGTACTCTTAATCTCCTCTTTATGGTTATGCGTTGATGATTGATTTTGTGACGCGTTCCAATTTCGAATGGTTCTCTTAATATTTCGAACAGTGTGACAAAATTTAAGAAAATGATTCATAGATATGTATAAATATGTTATAAAGTAAATTAACAGGAACCAGATATATGCACGAGGAAATAATAAAGGTCCAAAGAGTAGGACGAATATGGCGCTTAAAGCAATGGTCGGAGCAACTAACTCGAAAATATGATGTTGTATTCGTTGTACAGCCATTTTTCTTTTGTTGAAATTTTGTTATTTTATTTGCTATATATTTGATAAGTCCGTTTGTATGTGGCTTAGAGAATTATTAATTTAAAAACTTCTTTTCATTAATGTCAGAACGAGGGAGACGATAAACTTTTATACTTTTTTTTTTTAAAAAAAAAAAAAAAAAAAAATATAAACTAGAAACAATTATATTATCATATAGGAAAGTTTTAAGTTAAATAAATCTAACAAACTAATATGTTACAAAAAAAAAAAAAAAAATTTAATTAAAAATGTCGAAATCAATCAATATGATTGAGTTCAAAATCTCATCCGTTAATACGAAAGAAAGACAAATTTATGAGAATGAGAAAAGATGAACTACCTATTTGTTCAATATTTTTGTTTTTGATTAAAAATAAAAAAATCGAGAAATTATGGCAAACAAAGGGACGAGAACCGGAAAAAGAAATAGAAAAAAAAAAAAAATGGTATGTAGATTATTTTAATAGCACAATATTGTGAAGATGGGATAATAAGTAAAATGGGATTGTATTTGGCAAGAGAAAGAATGAGTCGAGAGAAATAAATTTTTTTTTTATTTTCTGATCACCAACACAATAAGTAAAAAGAGGTAAGTACTAAAACTTCGAAAGCCATGCTTAGTGAGTTTTTCTTAATGAAAATGATTTTAGCCACAAAAATCAACGCGGAAATACATTTTACTGATTGATTAGATAATACAGGGATAGATTCCGTCAGTTATAGAGATTCCGAACTTTTTTCATGTCATCGTTCTGTCACAAACTAATTAGATCAAATAAATGGAGGGGTGATGAATAACGCACCAAAACCTTTCTTTTTATGTATAATATTTAGCTGATTATTCAAGTTAGACACAAGTTTATGCTTTATTTATAGCTTGGCTTTGCTAAAGTATCGATTTGGTGTTGCCAGATGGCCGTGTAGGACTTACCCGTTTGGCTTGGGATGAATATTATATACAAGATATTTTTTTATGATATTTTTAATATATTTAAATAAAGTAATTTATGTAACTTCACTTTATTTTTTAAATAAATAGAAAAATAAATATTGAAGGCATTCATGAGAAAAGAATAAGAGATTGGTGCAACTATTATATGCGTTTGATTTTTTTATTGTTTGATAAAATTTGTTAGAGACGAAACCGTTTAAATTTTAGTCAAGATTTAAGGCTGTTTTTTTTTTTTTTTTTTCCTGTGGAATCCAACAAGCACCCGCGTGTCAAATAACGAAATTAATTTTGATTTCCAATGAACAATCTGTAAAACCCAAAATCGCCTTTTGGTTTTTTACGGGAATGAATTATAAATTATTATTTATTAGGTCATTCGACAATCGTGCGACCTTGTGATGTAATGTAAAAAAAAGATGTGATCTGATAGATTATGCTGCGTCTGCGCTTTAGTAATCTTGTATTCATAACGATGATGTTTTAATCCATGGTGGTACTTTGGTGTCGGCTTCTAATTTCTAATTGTTACTGCGCACAACTCAATTTTTTTTTTCGGTTATTAAAATGAATTTATTTTAATAAATTTATAAATCAATTAAAAAATATGAGAATTAACTATAACCAAAAAAAAATAACTTTTTTTGAAAATTTGCAAAATATTTGAACACGTGAAAGATCATATTTCTGACTGAATGAAAATTTTCAAATAAAGGAGGGCCGTTCTTTTTTTTATATTATGATTATTTGTATTTGGATAAGGAAAATCAAAGGTTTTCTCATAAAAGTAAACCATTATCTAATTATAAATTTATCATCTGAAAACTCAAAAACTAACGAATAAATTTTAATGATTTTTTTTGCAATTACTAGAAGAAAATCTTGACAAAAAAAAAAAATTCTTTTTATCTTACTTAAGATCACTTATTAATTTCCAAGTCTCTAGGTTTACCAGATTTCAATTGATACCATTTCAATGAATTTCCTGCCGTACTGACGGCCCCTAAACTTGTCATTGCGACATGAAATGCGTCTTTAGTCGCAAAAGCTGAAGGCCCGGATGTGGCGAGAAGACCAAGTGACGTCACTAGAAACAAAAAAATTATTTAAAAAACGATTTACTCCATTACGGTTTGGCATTTTTCAGATTAAATATAAGTGACGCGTACATGTGGCGATGTTGTAACCCATAGTATGATTTCCTTTATTAATAAGATATCTGAAGTAATGAACGAATCAAAGTAAGTGTTAAATATTTAACAAAAGAAAATTATTGTAATTTCAAGATCAATCGATTTTGATTTACCCAGAAGCGGCATATGCTAACGCGATCACACCAGCTACTGCAGCCGTTTTTGGTTGATTCATATTCCGATGAGCGTACACGGCTCCCATTCCAGCTATCAAAATAAAAAGAAAAAAGACGTGAATATTAAAAGATCTCTAACGCTCGATCATTTAATCGATCGTTGCTTACAGAAGGCAGACATGAAATAATGAGGATAAGGATCCGCATGAGAACTCAATGTGGCCATTGCCGAGGATGCTTTTTCCCCTACAGATGCATTTGGATCAGGATGTTGAGCTGAAGCCTTTATTTCCGTATTTTTAAATTGAGGTGTTGGCACATTGGCTTTAATTTCACCCGGTTTGGTGGAATCAGAAGTCATTTTATTAGAGGGATTGGATTAGGTCAAAACAAATAAAAAAATTAAAAATAAAAACGAATATAAAAAAGATTTGTTTCCTTGGGGAAAAAAATATGGTTCTTATATTACTTTAGAATCATAGCATTTGACATCATCCTTGTTGATAACGTAAAAATCACGTGATGCAAATATTGGTTTTACACGCGAAATCGACTACGGACCATCCTATAAAGGTTAAAAGGCGCATGATTATGACTCGAAAATTATTCAATTTTTTAACTATTATGAGAGAGCTGTAATGATTATTTATTTTTAACTCCGAAGCAAAAACCAGCCTTTAAAAAGATTTTATAATTTGCAAAAGGGTAACGATAATAAAAAAATATTCCTTAAAAAATGACATTGATTTTATATTATATGGCGTACCGATCTGTCTGTAAATGCAAGGATTTTTTTTGTTTGTTTATGTAATATTGGTTAATCACGTGACTGCACTTTTATTGCGGGATTTTCTACACCTACGTTACACATACTACAACATGTCAAGACCTCAAATCCAATATTAACTCTAATTAAAAATCCCAAACAAAAATCATTAATTACTATTTACTATGGAAGACGATCATATACAGTCCGGACAAAAAGGTTCCGATGAGGAACCCGGCGAACCAATTGACGAAGAAAATCGATTTACTTCTTCTTCTGAAGAAGAATCAACTGATTCCGAAGCCGCAAAAGAGATCGCAGATGGGTTCATTGTTGATGAGGAGGAGGAAGAGGTGGAGGAAGAAGAAGTAGTAGTAAAGGAGAAGCGTAAAAAGAAGAAAAAGAAGAGTAAGAAGAGAAGACATGAATCTTCAGAAGACGATCTAAGCGAGGATGAGCTTGATCTGATCGAAGAAAACACTGGCGTGAAAATAGCTCGTAGTGAGGTGCATTATCTATTTCTTCATTATTGGCTCCCTCATTATTATTTCATCATTAATATGATCTTTACCGTATCATTTAAAGCAAAAATTCAAACGCTTGAAGAGAGGAGTAAGGAATCCGTCTAAAGATGTTAAAAATATTTTTGATGAAGACGAAGAAGAAGTTTTGGAAGAAAACGAGGAGGATTTCGTCGTTTATGACGATGGGGAGGACTTCGTCCAAGGTGAAAGACACGCACCGACATTATTCGAAGAAGTATTTAATGATCTTGAGGAGAAATATGTATTTGCTTATGAAAAAATTGTAAGTTTATTAATTTATTGTTTATCACGAATTATTAGCAAAACTTATCACATTTTGAAATTAATCTTTTAGGAGGAGCCACCTGATTTTAATATTGAAACATTGGAAAAAGTATTTAGCCCAGAAGCTTATTTAACCCGCAAAGACAAAGAGATAAAAACTACTGATTTACCAGAGCGTTTCCAAGTAAGTTTCTTTTTAGAGTTTCGCTGCTCGTCTTTAAAAATAATTTCTCAATATGTTAACTATATAAATTTGATCACTAAATTTTTTAGCTTCGACAAGAAATCATAGTGAATCGTAAACTTACAAGAGAAGAAATCAATCTAGCAACAGATAACGTAACAAAGTCTATTTCAGGATATCATGGAATTCGAGCTTCGTCGCATTTATATAAGGCCGTGAAAAATGTCTTATCATGTTTTGGTCAGGAATTTGTAGAAGTTCCATACATATGGACTTATAAAAAGGATTTGATTGCTAATTATGATGATGATCCCATATCAACGGTCCTTTCTCGAGCTGATTTATGGTATATTTTTGATCTCGAATATGATTTCAGAATCTTTTTGGAAAAGAGAGATCAGATAAATTCAGAAATTTCTAAGAATCATTCCCAGAATTCTTACATATGTAAGATATTTTCAGAAGTAAAAGAGATCGATGAACTTTATGATTTGAACGTGTACATTAAATTTCAAGAAAGGAAAGGAACGATTAGTGTTCAGAGAGTTTCCCCAACTGAGGAGTTGCGCCGTAAGGGTATGGTATCAAAGAATGTTAAATATTTGGAATATATTCACAAGGGTCTCCTCAGGGTAGTTGACAAATTTGGAGTTCAAATTCCTTCATTCGTTCAAAGTCTCATTTCAGAAACAAAACTTCATCAGCCCGTTAACGAAAATTTGATTCCACTGGACATAATACGACAATTCTATCCTGAAGCCAGAGATCCTGAAGAATTATTACAGCAATCCACGGAATTACTTGCCTATGAAATTTCACTTGATCCTATGTTTCGGAAATTTGTTCGTAATAGTTATATGCGAAATGGACTTTTGATTACTTCAGGTCCGTTGAAAGACGTACCTAGTAACAATGAGTGTTGGTCTTACTGTTTTTGGAATATACCAATCCAAAAAGCATTCAATATAGGTGCCGAGTTTGCTCGAATTCTATACCATAGTAATCAAAAATTGATAAATTTAACGTTTCAATTACGTGACGAAGAAAAGTTTTTGGAAACACTTAAAAATAACATTGTGAGTGATAATCCAAGACGGTTCGACCTAGAAACTTCACTAGCTTCAAATAGCCATGTCCAGTGGAATAAATATCGAATAGATGCTGTACATAAAGCATATAATGATATTTTACGACCAAATATTGAATCATGGATAATAGCAAAACTCAAAGTCAATGCCGAACAATGTATAATGGAGCAATGTATGCTCAATTTAGAAAGGAAGATTGATGTAAAGCCATTTAGAGCGTCAGACATGCGTAGAAGTGCAATACCTCGCGTTTTTGCATTATCATTTGGAGCCGGTGGAAGGGATAATGATACTTGTTGTGTGTACATCAATGAATATGGTAAAAAGATACATGAATGGTTCTGGCCTATGCTCAAGGATTTAAACTCAAATGAAGGAAATGAATTCCTGAATGCTTTAGAAGAACACAACCCTCATATTATCGTCGTACGGTGCTATGATTTTAAAACGAAATTTTTACTTCAGACCGTTAAGACTTTTGTACGTTATCACAACGAGAGAATAAATAATTCATCTGAAAAAGCTACCGTAACAGTTATTGATGATAAGGTTGCAATAGAGTATACCGCGTCAGAAATAGCGAAAAAGGAGTACCCAAAGTCGGTGGAATTATCTCGATATTGTACATCTTTAGCTAGAATGGTACAAAATCCATTGATGGAACATCTTAGGCTTGGAGACAAAATAATGTCTATTAAGTTTCATCCTCTACAATCCTTTTTACCCGAAGAAAAACTTAAGGAAGCGTTAGATCGGGCATTCATAAATGTAGTTAACGAGGTGGGAGTTGATATCAACGATATATTACACGATGAGTTTAATGAGCCAAAACAGAGGGCTTTACATTATATTTGTGGATTTGGGCCTCGAAAGTCCATCTATTTAAAGCAATTAATATTCGGCGAGAATTACAAACCGCAGTTTGAACCATTTATCGATAGTCGATCTATGTTGAAAGATATTCTGTCCGAACCAAAAGTCTTCCAAAATTGTGCTGGATTTCTAAGGATACGTCCTGATCCTAATGACCCATTAGATGACAGTCGTATGGAATCATTAGACGACAGTCGTATCCATCCCGATTATTATGATTTGGCACGCAAATACTCTAGAAATACTCCTGACATGAATGATGCAATTTCTAATCATAGGTATTTCTTAATGCAGTTAATCAAAAGAGAAAATAGGAATCCTTTTGGGGATAGGCGACGGGATTACGAGTTGCCAACAGTTGATCAAGTTTTCGAAATGGTTACTAAAGAAACAAAAGATAGTTTATACCCAGGTCTCATTGTACCGGTAGTTGTCAGGTCCGTTACAACTGGTGCTTTAAGAGTTCGTCTTAGAAACTCGGGGTTCGAATGTAACATTGGTTGGAATTATATAGATAAGAATAATAATATTGAAGAAGGTGATACATTCGACGCTTTAGTGAAGTCAATAAATAAGGAAGATTTTACTATCATATTGAGTTGTAAACCAAGGGACTTGGACACAGGAAATCATAGATCCTTCCGTAATGAAAAGTTTGAAGAATTCATTGATAGAGAAGCCAAAGAGAATTATCAACCTCCAGTAAAAGGTAAGTTTCTCCCAACATTTCGTTATTTGTTTTAACTAGCTAATATATATATACACATTTATATAATTTTAATTCATAGTTAAGAAAATCAATCAGTATGTTTCGAAACCTAAGCCGAAACCACCACGACACATTTCTCATTCTTGCTTTGAAAGAGTATCCGCTTCAGAAGCCGAAGAAAAGTTATCTACTCAACCAAATGGATTCTACATAATTCGACCAAAGACTGATAATCCAGACAAACTTTCAATAACTTGGAAGATTTATGATAACGTTTTTCGTCATTTTGGTAATTCGATATCATTTACCTTTCATTTTTTATCTTTTAAAAAAAAAAGTTTTCTTAAGTATTATATCTTGACAGATATTATTGAAATTGGATTGGAACCTGGTCAAGAAGTTGGTCGCAGATTATTTGTGGAAGGCGAACAAAAGGAATATGAAGCCTTGGAAGAATTATTAGTCACGTATATTGATGATACAAATGATTTTATTGATAAGTTGATAAGTCATCAAAAGTTTAAACCAACAGAGCGACAGTTGGATGAATATTTAGATATTTGTCTTCGAAATAATCCGAAATATACTGCATATGGATTTTACATGGATAATGCTAACCCTGGTTGTTTTTTTTACGGGTACAAATTTAGACCAGGAGCTCATATGTCGAAGATGGTATGTATTATTCATAATTGAGACTTGTTTATCAAACATCGTGGATTAAATCCTTGTAATTAATTTGTATATTAGCGGGGAATATTCAGACCTTATGGTTACCGTGTTGAAGAATTCCGCTTCCACAGTCTCGATGAAGTTGTGAACGGGATGAAACAAAAAATCTTAGAACGATACACTAATCGCAAACGCTAATTGCGTTATTTATTGTTTATCCGTCGTCGTTATTAATTTTTTTTTTTTTTAAAAAAAAAAATTTATCAATTTGCTTGGAAAAAAGAAAAACATAAACATTAGAAAAGGACTTTTTGTGATAGAACAAGGAAAACAAATGTATTACAGCAGTGGATAATAAAGAATATCCAATAAATTAAATAATTTCCGTATAATTGAGACGTTCTAATAATTACTTTTGTCGAATTTATCAGAATAATTAACATATTAATGCTAATTCTCTATTTGGAATTGCTCCCAGTTATAGAGATCTTGGCTTAAAGATGAAAGATACAAAATCTTATTTTCCGGATAGCCTCTCAAAATGCATTAAGCTCTTAATTTTAGTCAAAAATTTTCCCAATTTCATTATCATATACACTCGATCAGAAAATTTGGAAATGATCAGCACATCTCTTTATCAAGTGCGAGATGTTTTTCCACTACGGAAATCAACATTTCTCTCTGTCATTATGTTTTGGGTGTTTTCGAACGTTTGATGGCAAATTTTAGGAGAATGCCGAATGGCTATAGCACCTAATTTCAGAAAAGAGAATCAATTGAACGTTTAGATTGGCGATAACTTTTTCGTTTTTCAACTTTATTAACTTTATTTATTTAAAGGTTTACTTTGAGAGAGTGTGTGTATGCGCGATAGGGTCGATTACATTAAATTTTAGTAGAATTAAATCTCAATTTTAATCAATATATGACACTTTTGTACAAGAATTTACTTTAAATATTAATGTATCATTAACTCCTCTTTAATATCCTTTCCTTCCTCTTATATCTTACAAATCAATATCAATATTCTTTTCTTTAGCCCTTTTTAGAACTAATTCAACAATCTTATCAACTTGTTCCGTAACACTCATATCACTAGAATCTAAGAATATAGCGTCATCGGCTTTTTTTAAAGGAGATATTTTTCTTTCATAATCACTCTTATCTCTTTTTTCCAAATCTTCTAATACTTTATTAAAATCTATTATTTGCGAAATTCTCTTGGAATAAGATTGCTGTTGAAGTTCTTTAAAGCGACGAGTTGCACGAACTTTTGCTGAGGCTGTTACAAAAATCTTTAGGTCGGCATTTGGAAGAATTACGGTGCCAACATCCCTACCATCCATTACAGTTCCTTTCGGCGATTTCCTTATTAAAGGTGTAATAGATGAAGTGGTGTGAGCTTCGTCGTATATTCCACTAGCTAAAGCGCGTTGCTTCTCTACTAACACATTCCGAACATCCGGATTTGATGCTATGCCAGATACGTTGTTCGTTACCTCCAGTGATCTAATTTCATCTGTTACGTCTTCTCCATTTAGGTAAACTAATGTTTGCGGTAATGATGAAGAGGAAGGCATAGAATGAGTGAGTGGTAAGGGAGGTGGCTCAGACGTTGTATGAAGATGAATATGAGAAGTAGCAGCTAATTGCGCTATTTTTGAAACATCTTCAAGTGAGGTTGGTGATAAGTTTTGACGAAGTGCTGCTAGCGTCACCTGGGCACCAACGAAAGAGAAAATGAAAGACAATTGAAGAGAGGAAGTAGTATGCAAATCAAAGAGAGAAATAAAGAAAAATAAACAAACAAAATCCATTACCGCTCGATACATGGCCCCTATTTTAGAAATTCAAAATTCGAATTCGAATTAAATTTCATAAATAATTATCTTGAATTAAATACAAATGTCAATTTCATTAAAAAAAAAAATCACCTGAATCTATATATTCAAAATTTAATCGTTGGGCCGCCATTCTAGCAGTTGAACCTAATAAAAAAGTAAAGAAATATTTTTTTTTTTTTTTTTTTTTAAAAAAAAAAATTCATCTTAAATGAGTACATGTTATGATTTTTACTTTTTCCAGACGCAGCGGGACCATCAATTGCAAGTTGAAATAAATTTCTGTAAAAAATTTTATTAGATCTTTTAGTTAAATTATTACTTTTAACAAAATTAAAAATCATGATTTAAAAAATAATGTTTGCGAGGGATTTTTTTTTCACGTCAA